CAAAGATTCCATCAACACCCACTTGGGTCCAAAAAAACAAAGCATGACCCCAGGGGAATGCCCTTGTTACATTAGAAATAATAATGCAGGGAAGACAAAGAAAAGGTTTCCCTGTGAGCTGTCAGCAGGGTGTCAGGAAGGTCTCCTTTTCCCTGCCTGTCCTATTCCACACGAACAGATGTTCAAGTGAAGTTCACCTAACGATGCCAGAGCTCACAGCGTGAAGGGGTCCACCGGGAACTCGGTGGATGTGCCGCAGCATCCTCTCACCATGAGGTGTGCCCGGCCCAATGTGTCAACTGCCCCTGGATTTCCTGATACCCGGGATTTCTAGTAACACCCAGGTTTTTCATTTCATTTATAAAAAGATGCACCAAGTATGTTCTAACCTATTTGTAGACATTTCTAATGGCTGCAGATGAAGTCCTGCCTACCTGGCTTGCCTCCACTACTGCAGAGAATGGCCAAGAGTCATTGGAATGTCTTTTTATAACTGTCCAGTCCAATAAAAAGACTTGTGCTTCCCCTCCAAGGCAGCTCCTCTTGGCTGAGACTGGGGTGGGGGGGTCCTTCTTTCACACCAGTGATCACGATGCCTTGCTTGCTCATCTCTCTTATCCACTGGATAAGTGAACAAAAGAGAGTGAAGCTGTTTAGTCGTGTCCGACTCTTTGCAACCCCATGGACTGTAGCCTGCCAGGCTCCTCCACCCATGGGATTTTCTAGGCAAGAGTACTGGAGTGGGTTGTCATTTCCTTCTCCAGGGGATCTTCCCGACCCAGGGATCGAACCCAGGTCTCCCACATTGCAGGCAGACGCTTTACCGTCTGAGCCGCCAGGGTAGCCAGGATTATCTACTGGATGGTGAGCTCCAAAAGGGCAGGGACGGGTCTGGCACAAAGGGAGCATTCAACATTTAAAGAGAAAAGAAGGGAAAAAAATAATAAAGAGAAAAGAAGGGAAAACAGGAAGGAAGGAGGGAGGGAAGGAAGAAAGTAAGGAGGGCCTGAAGAAGTGAAAGAGGGGACAGAGGCAGGCTAGAGTTTTTCATGAGATAAACTGAACCCCTTTCTGCTTATGCTCCAGACCCCAGCCGTACTGAATGGCTCCTTATTCTACAAGCCCTTCCCCATCCCATCCCTCCTCGACCCCTTGCTGAGGCTGCATCCTCTCGGTGACCCAGCTTTCTCAGTGCTCTGTTCACTCTTTCACATCCACTCCCCAGCCCCCTTCTTCGTGCATACCCTCACTCAGGTGTCCTTATCCTGGCCTCTTAATAAGGAAAACTCATGACCAGTGTAGCTCTAATAGCTATGCAGTGGCTCATGGACACCCAAAGCCCTTATCCGATTCTCTCCCAAACTCCCTCATCTCAGCATGTCACGAACCCAAATGCTCAGAAGAGAGCAAGGTCAGAGAGCGGGGGAGCAGGCATCCGCGAGAGGCAGGAACGTCAGCACAGTCCTGAGAAGCTGCATCACAGCAGATGACTGGGCCTCGGAAACCTAGAGGATCCTCAACCTCACTTTGACCACTAATGGACTGTGCAAGCTTCGGCTTCAGCTTCCCTCTATGGGGGAAGCAGGGTTTAGATTCACTGATCTCTGAGGATGCTTCTAGGTCTGACATCTGATATCATTTTGATGTCTTCTGTAGCCTTCTGCTAGGACTAGTACTCTTCAGTAACACATGAACTCCTGAGAACATGGACTAAGGGGGCCAAAGGATTAGTAGGCAAAGAATGACTGCGAAAGTGTTAGAAGAAACAGTAATTCTCTCATAGAGTCTGCAGTGCTGTATCACTGGTGGATCTTACTTTATACGAAGGAACTGCTACATAAACTGTCAGGATGATGAATTTTACTCAGCACCACTCTAAGTAAGCCGTGCACCAACCCCTTCTTTTTAGTCTATGGCACAATCAGTATAGAAGTAGAGAGACAGCATTTAGAAACTTTTAGAGAACTCTGACACTGCTTCACCATTCTTGGGGGTACTTCGTTCATAGCAATTCATTTTTGCTGTTATGTTATAAAAGAATTGGTCGGCAATGTAGAGGAAACAAAACTGGTTCTGTACCATAGATTGAGAAGTAGTAATTGAAATATTATCTTTATTGTTTTCACCCATTGAGAGAGAGAGGGAGGGAGGGAGGGAGGGAGGGAGGCAGGCAATGCAGGAGCATACCTTGTGTATGAAACAACTTCACCTCTTTATTAAAAATCATCAAGACAACGTCAATCTAATTTTCTATTACAGGTGTCATCCTTCTTTCCTAGCTTCCTCTCTCTCTTCCTTTCCTCCCTTTTTCATTCATTTATTCCTCCCCCCTTCCTTCCCTCCTTTTTTAAAAAGTCACAAAGCAAGTATTTCTCTGCAAACTTCCAGAGGTTTCTCTCTGCACACAGGAGAGCTGATTCAGCCAGAATGCTGGGCCCTCCCCCAGCTTCATCAGGAGGTGAAACATCCCCCGTGGGGCTCCCTGGGGCACAGGACTTTCCAGCCAGCAAACACACAGGCCCTGGTGTGAGTGGTCACAGCGCTGGCACATGGCTGCTCACGGACATTCTGGACATGTGGTCCCGTGACTTAGAAAAGAAGAGGCCTCTGGCACCTGCCAGCACTGTCTGCTGATAGTCAGCTCTCTGGAACCAGGGGCCCCGTGGCCCCTGCACCCCAACCACAGAGGTCAGATGCCCTTGGTCCTGACCCAATCATACTCAGCAGTTTTCTCCCAAGGCTTTAGGAAAGCCACCTCGCCAGTCACTCCCGCTTTTTGACTCTGCCTCTTACTGCTCCTTGGATTTAAAAATACCCCCCTTCCATGGAAGCTTTGGAGTCAGCAGAGCAAGACTCAAATCTAAGCTCTTCCTGCCTTAGCTGAGTGACTGGGGGTAAGTCCCTTCCTTCTTCTGAAGCCTGGATTTCCTTCCGCAAAGTAGGGATAAGGGTGCTTACCTCCTGGCACTGGGAAGGTGCTGAATAAACATTTGTTGCATGAGTGAATGAATGAATGGATAAATGGACAAACAGATGAGTGACTTCCAGTATTCCTGGCTCTTCATCCATCCTCCCATGCCCACTCTATCTGGGCACCCCAGGAACTCCTGGGGTCTGGCTCAGGAGAGCATACATCACATTCATCTCAGAAGTCTTGCATTTGTGATTTAGCCAAATGTCTTTCCTGACCTGGGACCTTGGCTGAGTCATTTCACTCTCTAAAGCCCTATCAGTCAAATACAAATGCTAACCCTGCTAGTCATCCTCATCAAATGCCATCAAAGCCTGAGAGCACAGACGAAAGTGCATTGTGACCTGGAAGGAACCTGCCACACACCAAGGCTTCTTCCTACACGGGCTGCCCCCATCCTGAGCCAAGGTGAGAGTCCAGGGGCCCGCCTGGTGCCAGAAGGCTGAGCTGACGTGCTCTCTGGCTTTGGGCCAGGCATGACATTCTCTTGCCAGCATCGTCATTCCTCTGCACATAGGTATTTTGTCGGTGCATGGGAGGCCCTTGCTCTTGTGAGAGAGACATAAAGAGAAGAGTCAGCAGAAAACCCGCAGAGGTTGGCAAATGAGCCGACCAATCAAGCCATTAGCAAGGCCAGGGTCCTGTGAGCTGGACAGAATGGAAAAGTTCAGCATGAATCTGGGAAGTCAGGAAAGTGGATGCGGACTGTCTCTCTGACTTAAAGCTAGTTCCCCTGGGTCCCATATCAAATGGCGATCATCTATGGTCCACCTCTGGGTGTTTTGGGGGGTTGCTGGTCAGAGTTGTAGTGCAAGGCAGAGGCTAAGTCAGGAGTTTAGACAGAAAATCTGCCCTCCACCCTTTCCACCCTGTTCTCAGCAATACGTGAAGCTCCTCTGCCTTGGATATCCTCCTTCTCCCTCAGCCTAATCTACTCAATCTGTGCTGTCCACATTGTACCTAAGCTTTCCCTAAAATGTTCAAGCTGCAAGTCAGCTGCTCCTCTTTGACCTCCTATGCATGCTACATGCTGCCTTTTATTGTTCAAGAAACGGCAGACGCACTTATTGAGAGGGAGTCACCTGCTAGCCCCAAGAAGAGACTTGCTTTGCCTGCCCTCATTTGATCCTCAGAGCACCTTCACAAAGTAGGTGTCACTGTCATTCCCATTGTACAGATGAGGACACAGCTTGTAAGAGGTCACAAAGTAAGGGAAGAGATCTGAACCCAGGATTCTTGCCTGGAAAGTCCCACGGACAGAGAAGCCTGGCAGGCTACAGTCCACAGAGTCCCAAAGATTCAGACATGGCATAGTGACTGAGAAAGCATGCAGTCTGTCTGACCCCAGCCCACCCCAGCTCCACCAGAACTGCCCAACAGACCCTTCTGCTAGCACAGAAGCGGTCATATGACTCTGTCCAGTTTGGTAGCCACTAGCCCCAGGTGGCTCCTGAATTCTGGAAACGTGGCTAGTGTAACGCAAGAACTGGATTTTAAACTGCATTCCATCTTCACTAATTTAAAAACAGTCACATGTGGCTAGTGACCACTGCACTGGATGGCAGAGTGCTTTATAACGTCAGCTGTTAGTACTCAGCCCAGGTCATCCAGTTTTAGACTCTGAACCCTTTGAGAAGACAGGATCTCGAGAGCCCCCTCTGAGCCCATAGGAAACAATGCAGAAATATTTTGGTAAGGCACTAACCTTGCGTATTTCTTTAGTGGCTAAGTTGTATCGGACTCCGTGCGACCCCTTGGACTGCAGGCTGCCAGGCTCCTCTGGCAAGAATACTGGAGTGGGTTGCCATTTCCTGCTCCAGGGGGTCTCCCGGACCCAGGGATCCAACCCGCCTCTCCGGCACTGGCAGGCGGATTCTTCACCACGGAGCCACCTGGGAAGCCCCACCTTGCCTGCAGTCCTGTGGTTACCTGGTCCAGTCTGCCTTGCGAACTGGGAAACTCCCGCAAGCCCCTTGGGCGTTAGGAGCCACGCCCACGAGTGAAGGGGGGGGGGGGGCGACCGTCTTACCTATGCTGGTTGTCGGGCTCGAAGCACGTCTTGGTGACGTCGGTAATGTTGGGGTTACAGCACTCCCCGCCGTCGAAGTTGAAGCGCTCATAGTTGCAGTCCATGTCGCACACCCCGTTCTGCTGCTTCTTGGTGAAGGCGGGGTGGCGCAGGTGGCGGCAGTCCCCGCCGTCGTGGCCGGTCAGCGTGTGGTTGCACTCGGGGTCGCAGTTCTCGTCCCCGATCTTACTGATGTCGCAGTTGGCCAGGATGAGGCGGCGGCGCAACGAGGAGTTGCTCACCTCCAGCACCTCGAGCTCCCAGGAGATGTTGTAGTGCTTGAAGGCCTCGGCCAGCTGCCGGTGCTGGAAGTCGATCTGCTGCCGGCTCACGGTGGGGTTCTCCCGGCCGTCGTCGTGGAGGTTGACCACGCGGTAGCGCACCACCTTGGGCCGGCGGAGCCGCGGCAGCTGGTTGTAGTTGGCGATGACCTGGGGGCTGTCGCAGAGCGTCTGCCCGCACAACGGCGGCTCCAGGCTGGTGTCCAGCAGGAAGCCGGGGGCGCCGCTGACCTCCACGTGGGGGCTGCTGCCGTCCTTCATGGGGGACCAGGCCCGCTTCACATTGTCCCAGTTCTCCTGCAGGAGCAGCTGAGGTAGAGGGCCCTGGGGGCCGCGGGTCCCCATGTCCAGCACGATCTCGCGCTGCGTCCTGGCCACCTTCCACAGGCTGAAGCGCTCCACGTAGCCTCGGTAGTTGTGGTTCAGGGTGCTGCCTCCCAGCATGAGCACTTTGCACTTCTGGGTCAGGGGGCTGAAGATCCCGCCCACCTGCTCCCCCGAGGTGGCCACCTGGGCACCGTTCATGTAGAGCTTCATCAGCCGCCCGTCGTAGGTGGCAGCCAGGTACACCCACTGGCCTGGGAGGTAGCTGCGGTGGGCATTGATGGTGGTCACTTGCCGGGCCCGGTCTGTCTTCAAGGAGAAAAAGTAGCGTGGGTCTCTGCTGCCTTGGTCACTGACGGTGTGAATGCCCACGACCCATCCTCGGTCACGTGAGGCATAAGAACATTTGTCATAGAGCCCTATGTAGCCCCAAAAGAAAAAGATGAATAAATAAAGGGTGGAGGAAGGAAGGGGGAAGTTCTTTCTTTCTGATAAAATTCCTATCAGGATGTCCTAGAAGAGGAAGTTTACAAACTGCACTCAGTGGCCTCCTGGTGACCCCCGGAGCACCCCGACGGCAAGGTGAGGGCTAGAGGAAGGGCGTGCATGGATGAGGTGGCTTTGGGAGGCTCTGACCACAACGTTAGCCCATGTGGTTTCACTTGGATTGGTTCTGAGTATGGGGCGCACAAAAAATGACATCTGTTTGCAGAATACATACGTGAGCTAAGGAAAACAACAGTAATACTACCAATAATTAAAATCTGAAAATCTTTGATTTTTCAAAACCGTTGGATGGGGAGGAGGACTTTTTAATTAAAGGTGTTTTAGGTGTAGAATGACATGTGTGCTGAGAGGGAGAGGTAAGAGAAGCATCAGAGAGAGAAAATGATCAGTAAAAGGTGCTCATTTCGCAGCTCCGACTACAGTCACCATAACTAGGAGTGTATCAGCCACAAGCACTCATCAATGATCAGTGGTGGTGAACTGCCAGGAACGTTGCCTGGAGAAGTGATGGTCAGGGGCTGCAAAGCGTGTATCACAACAGTAGTCCTGACTAACTCTGACATTCACCCCCAAAGAAAGGCAGGCATACTTACTATCTGAGCTGGAAAGGTTTTTAAACATCACCAATTCCAACTCCTTCACTTGAAAGTTAAGAGAATTGAGACCCAGGAAATGGAAGGTATTTTTAGGTTACCCAGTCACTGACAAATTTCCTGAGAGCCAATTCAAACTTGCTTTCCTCTAACATCAATGCTAATATTTTCAAAAGTAAAAGGCATCCTCTTAGCATAAAAAGATGTTGGGGACTCCATCATTAAGTAAAACCAAGCCTCTGTCACAAGTGAGGCATCGTGTGAAGGTCTGCATATGCATTAATTCATTTAACCCACTTAGCACCCTCAAGGTGATGATATTAAGTTAGCAGAGGAGGAAACAGAAATTGAAGGAGGCAAAGAGATGGATGGTTTAAGGTCAGCTGGTTGGTAACTAGATCCTAGATCCATCAGACCCTACAATCACTGTCCTAGGTACTAACTTGACCTCCTTCTCCCCCATCAGTGTCACCAGCGGTCCCTCTGCATAAAACCACCTGCCTGGGTTGTCCCAAATTTCGGTTGACTGTTTGGGAAAGTTCCAAGCCAGACATCTCTAGACTTAGCCTGGAAACACCAGGAAGTCACTAAGTAGATTCTCTCTGGATCAATTATCTTTACTCTCATCAACTCCTGTTCCCAGCTTTTATGGAATATACCCAGTGTCCTTGGCACAGACAAACAGTTGGATGGGGAAGAGGACTTCCTAATTAAGAATGTATTCTAAGTGTTCGACGATACATGAGGCTAGGTGGGAGGAGAGAGAGAGGGATAGGAGAATGAATAAAAGATGCTCATTTAGGAGGACAGTCCCTACTTTCAGCTGGAGAATTGTTGCGGTCACCATAACTTTGAGTGTACCTCTGCCATTAGCACCCGTCAAATGAGCACAGAGAGCTTCTAGCAAAATCAATAGAGAAGGCCCACACAGTCTGTACTTCTTTGTGGGTACTGGGACAAAAAATTTGATTTTGTGTAAATCTGTTAGCAGCTGACGTGGATGGTAGTTTTGGCCAAGCTTCCAAGTCCACCTACATCTCCCCTATCACCATTCCCTGTTCTACCACCTTTCAAGTGAAGGCCAGGGTCTCCTACAATATCAACATGCTCTCAGGCCTTGATGAAACACCAAGTATTGGTGGGTCTTGGTTCTCTCCCCAGAAAAGGAGGGGAATGAATGAGGTTTCCCTCATATGCCTGGTCCACGGGGGTTTTCTGTGATCCCAGGTTTCCCAGTGGCTAAAACAGAAACCACCTCTCCCAGGAAGCTTTCCCTAATGGTCCTGTGAGGAACAATCACTCTCTCCTCTGAATTCTTTGTACTTTTAGGAAACTGGACATTTACTCTCTGGTTTTGTAGTCTCCCCGCAACAGGACGCTTCTTGAGAATGATGACTTGGGCTGGGTCATCTCTAACCTGCCCAGCGTCTTGCACTATGGGTTGTACACAGCAGGCACTCAGCAAGTGTCCCACGAATGCATACATGGATGATTCCGAACAGAGTGGGAGAAAAGGTGAGATAGAATCAGAGGCACCTATCTATGTCTCCCTGGATAAAGGACAGAGAGAATCAGAAGACAGAGTGTGTTCTTGGCTGGACACAAAGAGCAGGACCTTTGGACTCAGGGTAATTCTGATGACAACAATGATTGGCCATCCATCGGGACAAGTTGCTTCACCTCCGTGGATCTCAATCCCCTCCTCTGTATCTCTCTTCACATACGCTCTCGTGCTTAAAAGACATAGTGGCTATACCGTCCTTGGCACACCACGGTTGTCCAGATGGGAGTACATTGTTAAAATGCTGGAGGGTCTCAGAGTGTTGTCAAGGATGAAAAGGGGGAAAGGACTAAAAACAAAGTACAGCAACAGCAGAGAGAGTGGGCACCCTAAAGACAATGTGACTGATGTATTAACAGCTGGTAGGATGAGGACTCAAAAAAGCACAAGCCCTCCTCAAGTTTACTGGCAAATTCGACTCAGAAATCATAACCCACCCCACCCCACCCCTTGCCTTCGCTACTGTTATGAGACTTGCATGTTAAAAGCCACCTCCTCACCGACCGCTCCAAGGCCAAAGCTCTGACTCCACATTTGGAATGAGCTTCCCTAGGTCTTAGCTACAGGAAGTATGAGAGAACAGGCTTCTGGACTTCACCCTCTGCCCCCTTGACCTTCCCCCCACCCCCCAATCCCTGCCCTCGTCACATCCCACTTCTCTGCTCACCTTCTCTTCCTCTCCTGGCTAGCCCCTCCCCCTTCAACAGAAAATTCTTCTAATGAGAAAATTCACATCTGACACAGGATCCTCTCTCCCTCTCTCTTTTTCTCCTCTCTCTGCAGGTTTTTGTTTGGCCAGGGGCTCTCAGGCCTGGCTTTCCTGTTGCCTTTGGAAAGCGGCTGGCTGGGGTAGCAAGGTAAAATGTTTACACATCTGTAGGGCGCCCTCAGGTCAGGACCTTCCTGGGACTGGGGTACATGGGCCTCGGTCACCTCTGTTTGTAGTCGAGAGAAAAGAGGGAATCAACAAGAAAGGCTAGACTCTGCGACGTGGAGCGGAGGACCAGCCCCAGGAGGCAGAGAGGAAGGGCAAAGGGAGGGTTTTCAGTGGAACCAAGAGGAAACACATTAAGGGAAACCAGAACCTTGAAGAAGGGGCTTCAGAAGTTCGGAGGGAAATATTCACCTGGGGTGTTAGTGGTGAAAGGAAATCACTGAACTTCAATAGGGATGGAGCGGGGGGTGGGTTGTAGTAGTGAATGGGATTTATTTCTGTGCAAAAATAAAGCAATCAACAGCAGTCACATTTCAGAGGGCTGGATGGGAGACACTGCTGTTTCACCAGCCGGGACCTGGGGACCTGGGACCAGAGCTCTGGGCTCTCGGGCTGCGGCATGACCTTGCCGGGGACAGGTCACACTGCCTCTTGGGCTGCCAGGCCTTATTTCCCTTCGATGAGGAGGAGGAGTTGGGAGTAAACGATCTCCCTGCTACGGTTTAAGACCTCTTTTGTTCCCTGTGAGAATGGTTCCTTGTGAGGAGGAGATGCTTCAGAAATGTGTGTTGATTTGAATCGAATGCCGCACGCCATTGCCAAGTCTTGTGCGCTTAGAGGACACATCCTTTGTATGTCTCCAAACCAGACATGGAACAGTGTTCTCTGGAGGACATGGGTGAATGCTAGGACCCTTCCACCCCATCCATCCCCACGGTTCTCCAGGAAGATACAGAGTGAAAGAAACAGTGAGAGTCAGTCTGAACGCTGGCACCATCTGAGAGGTACTAGGGGTTGATCCCGGGGGACACATCCTCACGGAATGGCCACAGGCAATCCTGCACACCATCTAAATCTAATTAGCATAAGCCTGCCTCAAAGCTATAAGCATGTGGAAGCAGGCAATGAAAGTGCCAGAACCCATTCATTCACTAGCCAATGACATGTCCGGGGCACCTGCATGGATGAAGTGGAGGCCCAGGAAGGAGGCTGCCCTGGGTCTCATGGCCAGCATCAGACACGTGAACCCTAGTCTCTCTAATGTGTCCCTGTCTTCTGGCAGCCCAGATTTGCTGTGAAAGGGCTGCGTATCCCAGCAGAAGCTCAATGTTTATTTATTTTTATTGTCTCTCTCTTTTTTTTTCCCCTGGTCTCATCTCACCCCAGAGATAGAGGGCATGCACAATGGGAGCAAGTTCAAACGCAGAAGGGCTTGTAGGGAGTTTCCCAAAACCTTCCCCCGGGCCACAGCGGGAGAACTGTCGGGGCTCTGGGGTCAGGATCACTCTCAGCATCCCTGCACGGCCACGGCCCCAGGGCAGTGCTGTGTGACCACGCCACTCCAGCCCAGGTGTCCACGGATCTTCCTCCCACCCATTCACCATACTCCTCCCTGTCCTAAAAGACATCCGTTTGGTAATTACGCATTCAGTGTCTGCTTCCTGAGTGTATCTCTATCTGGTTCACTTCTAAATGCCCAACATCCAACACAGCATCTGGTACCTTGCAGGTGCTGCAGAGAGTCTGTCATTAAAAGTATAAAATAAAGGAAGGGAGGGAGGAAACGAGGAAGGCAAGAGAAGGGAAGTGGGGGGACACCTCTATCGCTCTGTGCCTTATAAGAGCACCATTAGATTATTAATATAATCACACTGTTTAGCGCTTACTAAGTGCCACGTGCTTTGCATGAATCCTCTCACTTAATCGTCACAGCAAAACTACCAACACAGCCCATTCTGCAGAGAAAACAGAGGCTCAGAAAGGTAGTGGCCTGTCCAAAGCAACACAGCTTAGAATCCATGTCCACAGGAGTCAGACCCAACT